GCCCCTATTATTTATTATTATTGTTGTTGGTTTGAAAATATCTCACTACTTAGTCCTGATTGGTCTTGAATTACCTGCATAGACCAAGCTGTCCTCAAACTCATAGAGATCCTCCTACCTCTGCTCTCAAGTGCTGGGATTAAAGGCATATGCCACCACACCCATCTTTCTTCTTTTTAACTTAAATTTTAAAGTATTTGTTTATGTACAGTGTTTGCACATTTGTGTGGGTGACGTATGTGCACATGTTTGTTAAGGTCAAATGTGGACATCAGATGTCTTCATCAGATTTTCTGACCACCTTAGTTTTTGAGACAAGGTATTTTATTAAACCTGAAGCTTATCAATTCATCTAGATTGGCTGGCCATCAAGAGACCCAGGGTCCTCCTGTCTCTGCCTCCCCAGTGCTGGATTTTTTTTTTCAGGGCAGTAGGGGTAGTAGAGAAGGAGGGTACTGGGATTGAACTCAAGAACTTGTGCTTGTTTGAAAGCACTGTCCTAAACTCTATTATCCCCCAGGGACTTAAACTTTCTCGCACACTTTGTTACATCTGTATTCACCTGCCAAGCAAATCTCCAGGGCCTGTGGGTGTTATGGGGGGGTAGGTGTACCAGGAGACAGTGTGCACAACTCCCTGGATGGGAGAGTTGCTGCAGTGGTGTCCTGGCAATATTGGCAGGAGTTTATGCAGTACCCTCAGATCTAACTAATGATCACTGATTCTCCAGAACTGTGGCTACCATGATTTCTAGAAAAATAAAATTGACTTGTAAGTGCATGCAGGGGTGTGAGTGGGGGTGTGGTGTAGGGTGGGAAGAAATGGAGCTACAGGGACGTGTTGCAGCCACAGAGCTGCAAATGGGCTGGGTATTGCTAGCACACTTACCTTCTGTGCTCCAGCTCTCTCATTGTTGGAAGCTTATGTGCTGGTCATTGAGCTGGTTTGGAGCCTTGGGCCCTGACCTGCCAGGTGTCTGTGTCCCTGAGTACTGCCTTTACTTGGCTTTTTCTGGGGACCTCTCTCCTCTACCTGCAAATGAGCTGTATGAGGTGATTGTGGTGTCATACCAACCCCAAGTATGGCCTGACTTGGGCTAAGTCATCAGAATGTCACCTGTCTGTCCATCGTGACTGGCTCACAGCTATGCAGTCAGACTGTCTGAGGCTACCATAACGAAGAACCACAGGATGGGGGCTCAAAGCAAACAGTTCCTCACTTCTGGTGGTTAGTGCACGACCTCCCTGAACTCCAAGTTGAATACTTTCCACTCCAACTCTGGCAGTCACTTCCAAACCTGAGGCACCTTGCCAAAGCCTGCAGGTCCTCCCATCTCTGCTACTTCGTGGAATCATTTCTTACCAGTGTGTCTTATATTGACACAGCATTCTCTTACAAGGTCACATTCATATTGGATGGCAGCCCATTCTGATGACCTCAACTTGATGACAAATGCAAAAACCCCATTTCCAAATAAGGTCACGCTCCCAGATTAGGAGTTGAACATGGATAGCTTTTAGGACAGAGTTCAACCTGTAACAGCAGGTGCCCCAGCCAAAATTACTGAGGGAACATGAGAATTTTCTAGAACTTCTGGGTAAAGGTGATAACTATCTAGCATCTTGGTCAGCGTGGTCCTGGGGATCACCAGACTGAAGGCTGGGCTACTGCACCTGGGTCCTCATGCCTCCCTTTCCCTTAGGACTGAACATTCTAAGCTTCCCCTTTGTTTTTTCTTTTTCTTTTTCATTTTATAGCCTTGCTTGTTTCTATGACCAGTCAAAGCCTATGTCCTGCTTACCCCTCATGGGTCCACAGCACTTAAGACTTACCATCTGGCCAGCTATTTGTCCCTAACATGAAGAACTAAGGAGTCTCTGCTGCCCAGGTTGGATGTAAACCCCTGGGATTGAGTTTCCCCAAGCAGCCCAGGCTTTTCTATCATGAAACATATCCACTGATAGATATAGAAACTTTGCTCTTTGTCTTAGTCTATTGCTGTGAAGGCACACCATGGCCAAGGCATCCCTTAGGGAAAAAAGCATTTAATTGGGGGTTTGTTTACAGGGTTAGAGGCTTAGTTCATCATCATCATCATATTGGGGAGCATGGTGACACTTATTGTGCTGGAATGGTAGCTGAGAGCTACATCTTGATCCACACAGGTCAAGAGAGAGAGCTAATTGGTCCTGGGCATGGGCTTTTGAAACCTCAAAGCCCACTCCGAGTGACACACTTCCTCCAGCAAGGCCACGCCTCCTAATCCTTCTAATCCTTTCACACAGTTCCATTCCCTGGTGACTGAGCATTCAAATATATGAGCCTATGGGGACATTCTCATTCGAACCATTGCACTCTTTTATTTACTTTCTTTCCCAGAAGCTTTGTATCTTGCAAAGCCACTCCATGTACACTCTTGTCAAGAGGAACCTCCAAGTCAGCTCTGCTAGGGCTCTCTCCGTGCTCCTCCTCCTGATACCTGATACCTTGCATAGGACAGCTCCTGTGACATCCATCCCTGGGCCACAGTCCCTGGCTCAACTCCCCTGGCTGCCTCAGCCTTCTTGCCTAGCAGAGACTCTTCCCCCATGCCCCCCAAGCCCATCATCACTATTCACTAAATCCATGGTCCCGTTAGTGTATGGAAGATAGCTTATCCATATTGATTCTGTTCAGGCTGACCTCTGGCCACCATTAGAAGTACCATGAGTGTCCATCTGTGGGAAGTGGTCTGACCAGGACCAGTTTGGGCTGTATTGCAGACCTGCTACAGCCTGTGTTCCTCTCTGTAGTCTGGATCTATCTGAACTTCACCCCAGGTTCAGCCCGCAGTAAGGCCCTTTGTGCATCCCTGTGCTTGTGTCTGCTTGTCTTAGTGACAGGGCCATAGTCTCCCAAGGGCTGGTACTAGCAGGGCAGGGGGCACTATTTAGGGGGACCCTGGATGGGGTACTATGATCTCAGTGTGAATATACAAGGGAAGAGGGAGGCCCCAGAGGCAGTACCAAGGAGAGGCTCCAAGTCACACAGCTATGGGCTTTTGAGAGCCAGCTATCCTTGCTTAGATGTTCAGGGATATGGGCAACTTGGTCAGCACTACTTCTGCCTGGTTATCCACTTACCTGCTGCAATTTAGGAACTTCATGTACAAAGGAGGTCATGTGACCACTAAGCTGCCAGGATCTTTAGAATGTGGCCTTTGATTCAGAGTAGGGGTGACAAGAATGGAGGGACCTACTGAGGAGGTTGCCCACCATTGTTCAGCAGGTCCAAGCTCAGCATAGGACCCTGACCTGGGGCAAGGAGAAAGGTGGAGGCTATATCAAAAAGGCTTTAGAACATCCCCACACTTGGGCCTCTACTATCCCAGCCATGGGCAGTTACAGAGAGGATTGTACAGAGATTGACCTAGTTCTTCTGTTTTGAGTGGCAGAACAAGCCAGAGGCCAGGTATCAGAGTCAGGGGTCACCCTAGCTCCTCTTAGCTATGGAGGCCCCAGGATGAGTTCAGAGAGGGGGAGAGAAGCATTCCAGACTATGCACCCTATCTGGGGTAAGACCCAGAGACTGGATGGAGCAGCTGTTCCTAGTAAATCCACAGTCCCTTAAAGAAGCAGGGTAGACAGAAAGGAGTGAAGTCTGCATGCCAAGCGTGGGCAGACTTGTGCCAGGACATACCTTTCCAGCCCACTGAAGCTGCCCCCAGGAATGCACATACTTGATGCCTGGCCTGGTGTGGGGGCTGAGAAAAGAGATCAGGCAGGGTGTGAGACAGACAAGCCCTCCTGGGAGAGGCGTCCATCAGCCATCCACCCACTGTGCATCTATGGCCTGCCCTGGCCTGCCAGCCTGCCCACCTCACCCAACATTTTCCATGGAAAGTTCCCAAGGTAACAGCAACACAAACTTATGACAAAGATGAACCCAGGCAGGGGCAGGTCTCAGGGTGGGGTGGGGGTGGTCACAGGCCTGGGGTGGGTGGATAGGGCAGGGCTAGCTTTAGGCCCCAGTGCTCCCAAGCCACCTCTGTTGGCAGAGAGGGAGGGGCCTGGGACCAACATGACCATGGGCAGGTGAAGGCTTTTGGCTTGTCTGTTGAGCACAAATTCCACTCCTTGGTAGAAGAATCAATGATGGTGGAGTAGAGGGTGAGCAAATGGACTCACACTGAAGACCACAGTCCATGAAACATACCAGGCCCCTGCGGAAACCCCTGAGAGTCCACACCCTCTTGCTCTTCTATCTAGTGGGTATTCCAGGTTAGATGAAGGGCTAGCTCATTCCAGGCTCAGGTGGGGAATATGTGGCAAGTGTGAGGTTCCTGGAAACAGAGCCGACCAGTCTAGAGTGCCAGGAAGTCTTGGGTGGGGGTTGGCTGAGTCCCATGGAGTGGCCATGTGACTGGGAGAGGGTGTAGTCAAGTACTCCCTGGGGGCCACATGGCTGTGGAAATTCCTGTGACTCTCCAATCCCCTCCTAAAGTGAGTGTTGAGGCCCTCATTTCCTATAATTCCTAGCCATCCCCAGGGCAGGCCTGGTACCCATTATAGTAGCCCCCTTTCTTTGGCTTCCTAACCCAAGGGAATGCCAGCCCTATGTGAGCGGCCTATTTGGGGCTTGGATGAGAAGTGAGCTCCCTGAAACCCCCCTTCTCTCCCCCATACAGAAACTGAGGGGGAGGGGCCAGAAACTCCAGCTAGAAGCCCCTTGCTTTTCACAGCCCTTCCCCCTCCCAGATGACTGAGGATGGGCACTGGGTTTCCCAGGAAACAGTAGGAAGAAAAGTGCTGAGGCCAGCCTGGCTGGGGCTGGTGGAGCAGTGGCTTGAGGTAGGGTGGCTAGAGCTAGACAGAGCTGAGAGCTGTTTCCCTCTAGTCCCCTAGACCGTGGAGTCTACCGAGTCCCAGAGGGTGTCCCCAGCACCAGCCTGAGCAAGGGTAGGGTAGGTAGGCCTGTGGATCTCTTGGTCCTCACTTGGGTCCTTCTGCCCTTGTAGGGCTGCCCTTGCTATTCTGGACATCCTGCAACTGCTCAGCATCTACCATGGGGAACCCCGCTTCGAGGCTTGGCTGCTTGGGGGAGAGGAGGAGCCATTCACACACCAGCCCTAGAACCCACACTAGCCCCAGGACCCAAGGGGATCTCTCTCCATCTGCAGCTCCTCAGGGCCCACTTCCACCAGGGATCCCCTGGGCCTGGTGGAGCTCCCATGCTGTGCAGGTAACAGAGGTCACAGAGACAGTAGTGACAGAGGCTGTGGAGATGGGGCCCTGTAGGCCAAGAAAGCAGCCAGCCCAGGTGAGAAAGGACAGCTCTAGAGTGTGGGAAGTCCAAGTGGAGGCCAGATGAGGTGAGTACATCCTTCTTGCAGGCATCCCTAGCAACCCTGGACACATTGTGCAGCTGGCTGGATGGCATGGAGGAACTACAGGCCTCACAGGGACCCCTGGCTGCAGATGCCACTTTGGCTGCTTCCCAGTTGTGGGAACAAGAGGTACAGTGCCAGGTGATAGGGACAGGGGCAGGGGCGGGGGGGGGGTGGTGTCACTTTTGTCCTTTGAGCCTCAGGTCAAGCCACTGGCAAATAGTGGTGGTTACCATGTGCTTGAATACAATAGATCTGGTCTCTAAGGGTGGGCTGCATGCATATACCTGCTAATGTTCCCATGGCCAGTGATTCCCCTTGATAAAAAATGGGGACAGTGGTGGGAAGGTGGCCAGGGATCCCAGAACCCTGCACAAGCCTCCCCTCCAACCTCATGCGCTTGCTGAGGGAATGTGCACCTCACATGGAGCCAAGATTGCAAGAGGCTGGGAGCCCAGCAGCAATGTACACACAATGGTACCACCTGATACAACAGGCAGAAGCCAGGTAAAGCCACAGGTGGGAGGCTCTAGGGCAGGAAGGACACCACCGATAGCTCTTCCATCTCTGCCCAAGGTGGAGGCTCCTGGAGCAGCTTGTCCTGGCAGCACAGAGTTTTGAAACAGCCTACAAGGCTCTGCTGATGCAGCTGAGCCCGAGTGAACAGCTCATGGCTGAGCTGGAGCTGGGGCCCAAGTGCTCTGAGGAATCTTTGCAGGACTTGCAAGTACGGCCTAGGCTTGGGGTGGGAGTCTGTGGGCTATCACAGGCTCAGTGTCTTGTGTGTGTCCATAGGAGGTATTCAGAGGGGTTGTGGCAAGTGCCAAGGACCTGGAAAGGTTTTGGAGACTGGCCAGAGGCTGGCAGAGGTCCTCACAAGTAAGTGGACCTTAGTCCTGTCACCCCAGCCAACATGGGCTCATGGAGCCCATAGAAAACCCTATCCTCAGCCCCGGGTAGACATCTGTACCATTTCCCATGTCCCCAAGTCCAAGGCCTCAATGTCTTTGTCCTCGTTGATGGCTTCCAAGGACCCTTCGAATGTCCTCATCATGCTACTGGTCTCCCAATTCCCCTTGAATGTCAGTGTTTCCTCCCTGGCCTCTTGCCTTTGGCTGCAGACGACCAAGCTCAGCTGGTACGGCTACAGCTGGATCACTTCCAAGAGCGTGTGAGGTTGACTGAGTCACAAGTCGCCCGTGCCCAGCAGAAGCTGCTGTCTGCTCAAAGAACAGTGTCCCCCAAGTCCTCACCAACAGCAGGCTTGGAGGCCCAGCTTGAACTGGAGGGGTCTGCCTCAGCACATCCAGGGCTCAAGGATCAGAAGCAGGTGTTTGTACCCCCTCAACCTTACATAGAAGAAAGACCTCCAACCTACCTCATGCCCTCTGAGCAGACTACAGCCCACTGTACTAAGGAGCTAGAGTGGCTGGGAGTATGTACTCTCTGTCCCTGGCTAGGGCTGTCTGGAACATTGCTGGTTTCCTCCCGCAGCTGAATGTCCAGCTGGCCCAGCTAGCAGAGTGTCTTGAACAGTTGGCACAGTTGGCCACCCACAGTGACCATCTGGGATCAGAGGCCCTCGTCAGGTACACCAGGGCCTTGGGGGTACATGAGAGTCTTTGGGAAACCACTTCCAGCCCTGGGGCAGGATCAGGCCCATGCTCAAGGAATCAAGATGGGGTGAATGTGAAGGTCTTGCCAAGACTGGACTCTCAGTTGGTCATGTTTCTCCCTAGCTGTGTTTCAGGTGGACACGAAGCCCCTGGAAGGGCATTGGTTAGAGACTCAAGAGCAAGACACTGGGCTGAAGGCCATTTGGAAGCCAGCTGTGCAGATCTTGTGTGGCCTCATGGAGCAGGCAGCCATTGAAGAGCTGAGGGTGACTGGAATTCAGCCTTGCAGGTGCCTTGAAAAAATAGGGGAGGAAGGTATCACCAAGAGTCCCTTGGGAGGAGAGGTGACCACAGGGACACTGGACAGCTAGTCTGAACAGCTGTTTGCTGATAGGAGGAACTGAGGCAGAGGCCTCTGGAAATGAAGAGACTGTAGCATCAGGGAAGGGAAGTGGGGGCTGTGATCCTGCTGGAGAGATTTCTGGTGATGACTTCATGGCTCAGTTGCTTCCAACAGGCCCAAACCTCCATTTAAGGCCGCAGCTCTCCCAGTGGGGTCAGGGCCTGAGATCAGACCATCCCTGACTGCTAGGCAAGGACAACTCCTCTGACCAGCACTGTCAAGCCTCCAGGCTGTTTGGGTAGGGGTAGGAGCTGACAGATCTACATGCCTTTTTTAGCAAGTAGAGAGCTCTTAATTAAGATCGAAACACTGCTATGAATAAGTTCCATTTATGCAACAGCTGGAAAGGAAGTATGTCAGGAGCAAAATAGAAAGAAGTCGGCTTACTTCTGACACACAATGATGGTCCAGCATTTATTGCAACAAAGAGGCAAGGGTGGGCTCTGCCCCCCCCTTGGCCCCTTTTCTATAACGCATGAGACCCTTCTTGAGCTTTGCTGTTTGCCCAGAAGTTCTAGGTTCCTTCATTTGCTCTCAGATATTTCTCATTCTTGGGACTCTGATGGTTCCCTGGGTGGCTGGAACCAGTTGTCTCCAGCGGGGAAGTTGAAACTGTGGTTATACCCTAACTCAAAGTTCTGAGGGCTGCAAGTTTGAAGTGGATGGGGATGGCTCCTAAGAGCTGTGAGGAAGGGTCTGATTTGCCTCTTTCCTTGCCATGTACACAGTGTCTTCTTCCTGTGCCCTTGGTGTATTCTGTGTCCAGATTTCACTCCCCTTTTGTATGTATATTCGTGTGCACACACCTGTGTGTAGGCCAGAAGCATCTGATGTCTTTCTCAAACACTCTCTACCTTATTGGTTTTGAAGGTTTATTTTGTTTTTAATTATGCATGTTTGTGTGTATGTATGTACATATGTGTGAGTACCTACAGAGACTAGAAGGCCCTAGTTCCACTGGAGTTAGAGTTATAGGCAGTTGTGAGTTGTCTGATTTAAGTATTGGAACCTGAACTAGGTCCTCTGCATCAAGGGCTCTTAACTGCTGAGCTATCTCTCTGGCCTCCCACCTTATTTTATGAGTTGGGGTCTCTCTCCCTGAACCTAAAGTTCTTATTTGTCCCAGGAATCTTACCTCTGCCTGCCTGGTATTCGGATTACTGGCCAGTGTGCCATCATACTGATTTGTTTTGATGCTAGGAATCAAACTCAGGTCCTCATGCTTTGCAGCAAATACCTTACCAACTGAGCCATCTTTCCAGTCCCAAAATCGCCTCCTTCTTAAGGGCAGCACTCACAGGTGCCTATATTCTACTGTTATCTCCCCCTGAAGTTAGTTATACCTGCATCTGCCTCCGTCTAAGTAAAGGCTGGGACTTCAACATGGAAATGGGTGCTGATGGTGATGGCAGTAAATACAGTTCACCCACAGGGAGGATCTTGCTGGCTTTCTTCACCTTGCCCTGAACAGGGGCATAGTGCTGTGTATGGCTGCCCTCCTCTTATTGAAGAAGCCCAGGGGTAGAAGGGCTGGGCCAGCATGTGAGATCTTCTTGCTAATGTGGTTGGTAGTACATACAGGGTGAATGAAGTAAGAAAGAGGGCTCAAGATGTGAGGTACATAGAGGAAAACAGAGTCCACCCTTTAGCTTTTCCCACTGGGAGAGGCAACAGTCCACCAGGTTATTCTGATGGCAGGAGTTCCTGTGGGGAGAGCAAACCCTGGTGGTGTCATGGCTAAGGAGAGGAGACATTGTCTGTGGGAGCACCCACCACTTGGGCTTGCTGATGGACCTCCTGGGCTGCCAGGATGCCGTGTTTAGCTCCTCCTGTGAGAGGTGAGCCTGCTTGCCAGCTGCCCCCACCCTATTGGCACTGGCCCTATACCCTGCTCATATCTGTCCATCTCTTCTCCAAGATACATACCCTGGAAGGGATGCTGCTGCTTGTGGGCCACCTTGTAGAGAAGCTGGTCTTGTGCTCTCAAAGGCTGACCCAGGCTGAACACTTGGGGACCAAGGTGGGACCTGTGGCCAGAGGCTTTGACTTGCACAGTAACTATGGACCAATCCAGGGTTAGCCCAATGACACTGGCTCTAGTGCCACAGACCCTCTGTCCTTGAGCCACACCCTCTATGAGACCATTGGATCTCTAGGAGGAGCTAGTGGAAGGCCTGAAGTGCTGACAGGACTGCTGAGAGGCACTAGAGGGTGGAGACATTGGCTCAGGGGAGATGGTGGAGCAGTGGGCAATTTTGGGGTATGGGTTTCTCCAGTTCCCTAACATTTCTCCCTAACACATAGGTGGTAGAAGCCCAGAGCTGGGTGCTAGAGGAGCTGCCTGGGGTCCTGAGCCTAAAGTGCTGGACTCAAGCCCCAAGGCAGACTCTGAGGAGTCTTGACCAGGGGACACCTGGGTATCTTGGGAGTAGAGCTAAGGCTTGCCTCCTGGGGAAGATTTCAGAAGAACAGAGCTGGAGGCCTTGGTGGGCAGATATCATCATGGAGAGTTGGAGTCATAAGAAGCCAGAGCATAGCAAGAGGAACCAGGAGAAAAGCGACCAGTGGGTACAGATGGAACAGGGCCACCAAGAGCAGGTACGGGCAGACAGATACATACTCTGTTCATTCCTGGACACACAAGAGGGACTTGGCTTCACCTCACAGCAAGAAGCCAACATACACTTGGCTCTTGTGGGGGCACTACCTATATTGCCTTGGTCATAGAATAAAGTGGTGTAGGGTGTACTTCATACCCCAAGCCACGGACTACATTGAAACATTCCCCAATAGGACCTTGTGGACAGCTTCCTGGCAGATGAGGAGCAGGGCAGGGACGGACAAGGCTGGTCTGGCTATACCTGGGAGAAATGTGGGTCTGACTGCAAGCATCCTGCCGTGTTGGAGCCAGGGCTTCCCAACAGCCAACACGGTGTGGTCAAAACAAGGAACACAGAAGGGACAAGTACACCAGTGGCCAGAGGCAGGCCCAAAGTCCAAGGAGCCTTGGTGAGCAGGTGTGAGTGTGGGCCTGTGACAGTGGGGAGGACAGAGCCTCAGGAACTGCCCCCAACCCCTACATAGAAGGCCAGACACCCCTGTGTTCTGCAGGCTACAAGAGGAACCCTGATGGTTCATGTTGGAGGTGGTTGGGCAGCTCTAGAGGAATTTCTGGTCAAAAACAACTCAGTCAGAGGTGAGAGCGGGGTAAGAAAGGACCAGGGCCTGGGGGGGGGGAGGGGGAGGTAGGAGAGGTTTGGCATCTGCTTTGGGCTCAGCAACCTGGGATCTCTGAGCAGCAAAGGGCAGGACCAGCCAGGAGATCCATGAGAGGTTCCTATGCTGGACTCCTAGTGTGCCGGCCCCTGAAGTCATCACCCTGGGGCTCTGGACCTCTATCCAAATGGGCTCTAGCTGGCCCCTGTCACAGAAGGTGAGAGTCAGCCAGGGGTCAGCCCTTCAGATGGACTGAGGACCTTCTTTGAGTCAGGTGGAGGAACTGAATGGTGAGGTGAAGACTGGCCACTCTTTTCAGACAGGAAGGCAAACTGGCAAAGAACACAGAGACCCCAGCTCCTACAAGGTCAGAACCCCGGAGCAGCCCACTGAGGAGAAACCATGAAGACTCCAAGATCCAGCAGACAGGGACAAGAAACAGAAGCAGAACTTGCTCAGGGACTGAGCAGGAGCTGTGGCCACATAGTCCCTGCAGACAAGGTGGGGTTGTGGCTTCCACTCTGAGCAATAAAGAGGGGTTAGGGGAACAGAAACTCTCTCTGGTGGGTCTTCATTTCCCATGCAAACTCCATTCAAAAGCCACAGGGCTGAATGAAGCAGGTTGTTCCCCACCCCACCCCCCACCCAGTGCCTGCCCCACATTCTTTTTCAGTGACTTACAGTTGGGAGGGAAGAAGGGAGGGACTTTGCAATTCAGCAGCCTCTCCCAGCTTGAGTTGTTCAGAGGTAGCACTGCCAGGTGCCATAGTCTGCGCTCTCCTGCTCACTCCACCTGTCTTGTCTGTGTCCAACCTAGCCTTAGCCCCGCCTACCGCCCTCAATGGGGAAGGGACTTGGATCACCATAAGGAGGGGCCATGCAGATTTAAATACTTGTGGCGAGGGGCTCTGGTGCGGAGGGAGCAGAGAGATCTTGGACGCTGCACCAGCCCTTGTCACAGCAGGTGGGGAAATAAGGGCAGGTTGGGAAAACGAAACCGAAACACCTGTGGGAGCCAAAGGCCAATGGCCCCAGGTGGACATAGTCAGGGGCCCAGGGCCATTTACCACCCTGGGCAGTCTGAGCTCAGAATTGGAGGTGGGAAGTCCCTGAGCCCTTGGGATGGTGGAGAAACTGAGGCCCTTGCCAGGCTGCTGTGCAGTTGGTGAGTGAGTGAGTGTGTGTGTGTGTGTGTGTGTGTGTGTGTGTGTGTGCACGCTCACACGCTCGAGTCTAGTGGTTCCAGCAGGATATGTGGTGTGCTGTTTGGCCCTGCAGGTAGGATATACCTTGTACCCGTTGCTAGAAGTGAGGTTAGTGGTGAGAAATCCTATGACAGAGGCAACTGGGCTGACAATCAAGAGGCTCCTGGCAGCCCTGATTGGTTGAGGAAGGGACCTAATGAGGAGTTACCAGCTATCCAGGGCAAGTAGCCATAGAGATGGTCCCTTGGGTGGGATTAGGGCCCTTGGAAAGAAGAGGAAGAGAGCAGGACTGTGTCCCTACACCCACTTGTTTATCATGCCAAGCTTGTACAGGGTCACTGACTTCTGTCTTTTGGGCAAGGTACAGCTGATGCCCTCCTTCGTGCTGCCCACTATAGGGCAGAGGCCAAGTTTTCCGTCTCCATGTGCGTTTGGCTGAGTCTGTCTGGTCTTCTCGTTCTGTTCTGATCTACCTTAGTGCAGTAGCAGCAGTGGCTGCAGCGGGCCCTTGTGCCCATCTTTGTCACAGGCTTGGGTGGGGGCCCACCCTTCAATGTGGTGACAGGTAGTGTCTGATGCCCCAGGTATGCTGACCCACCTGGCTCAGAAATGACCCTCTTTCCTCTTGGCAGATAGGACAGCCTGTTGTGGGTCTCTAGGGAGGCAGGAAGCCTATAGCTCTCTACCAGGGAGTATGTACTGCCTGCCTTCGCCAACCCCTTCATGGATGACTTAGACTATGGTCTCAGACCTGGAACCCTGATCCTTTATTGATACTTCCTGGATCTCCTGCCCTCCTTGATAGAGCTCTGTATACCCCTCAAATTCATTTATGTATTTATTTCTATTTTATGTACATTGGTGTTTTGCCATGGGTGTTGGGTCCCTTGAAACTGGAGTTATAAACAGTTGTTAGCCACTATGTAGGTGCTGGAAATTGAACCTAGGTCCTCCGGATGAGTGGTCAGTGCCCTTAACCACTGAGCAATCTCTCCAGTCCCACCCTCAAATTCTTGACCCATGTGTTTGGTTGTCTTCCTAGGTGACTGCAGTCACCAAGTGTCTACTCCTCTACCCTCCTGGAAAGGGGCACAGCCCAGGGAGAGTCATACCAGGTCCAAGGTCACCCACAAGCCAACAGGGAGTGGCTGCCAACCACAGGCTGCATCTCACAGAACTCAGTCTCTCAGCCCCACCCCTTCCCCAGTGTCCCTGCTCTCTGGACCTTTGTCAGTGACTTCCCACCCTGAATCTCTCCTTTGTTCAGGGAACTTGAACAGCTACCTTAAGCTTGTGTTGGCTTCTGACTCTGGCCTTGCCGTTCTGTACAAAGCATGCCTGTTAAGCCTGGCTATCCATGACTAGCTCAGGAGCCACTCCAGACCATACCTTTCTGGCAGTCTCCGTCCCTACTGTAGTCCCATGTTTGCTGGGCAGTGAACTGCTTGTCCTGGATCCCACCCTCATCCAGCCATATGTCAAGGGACAGCTACCAAGCCTCCACCCTAGGGCCTCTCCCCTGTGCTTTGCCCTGTTCTGGGGTTCGAGAGACTGCTTGGTAGGTGGGCAACAAAGGTGCCTAAAGCAATGTTGGGAAGCAGAGTCTGGTATGAGTCATTAAGGGTGTTCTTAGAACACTCACGGTCATGGAGGGGACAGGTTGGTGGGAGAGGCTGGTCTGCCATGCTGTCTAACTTGTCCTTGAAAATAGACAAGTCCAGGCAGCCCTGTGTCTACCACAGTCACACTGTGCCTCAGAACCAGTCTCTTGTATGCCATTGTGTACCTTCTTGAGGAAGTGCAGGAGGAAAAAGTCTATGGGACAGACCGGGTCCTGTTGTGGCTTTCAGCTCATGCTGGTCATTTGTTACCTCTTCCAGTCATCTAGAAAAAAAATACCATTGGCTTACTACAACTGTTGGCTGGGGCCACAGGGGTGTGACCAGACCCTTTCCCTAGGAGTCTTCTTTTTTGGCCAGAGTAGTTGTACACTCTGTGTCAGCTGCCACATGGCTACGAGGACCGCTATGTAGGTGGCATAGTGGTTCCTCTCCCCTTGCCAGTCAGGTCTGCCTTCACAAGTGTTTCTTCTTCTGTGGATCCTGGCACTCACTCTCCCAGTGTGTAGGCTACTGCTCTTAGGCCTGAGAAGCTCTTCTGGGACTCAGAAATGTATGTTTTAGAATAGAAATACTATGTTCTAGGGATGATGCCTAGACTGCAGGCTGGGAGCCGAAGTCTAGGCCATGCCTTTAGCAGTTGTCCTACACCCTATCTACCAGCAACTTCTGTTGGACAGTGAAAAGGGCCATGGCCAGTTTCACTGACCTCTTGGCCTTCCCCCAGTGCATATCTCATCCTCCATGGCCAAGGAACTCCTTAATTTGTTCTCCCTAAAGACACGAGACAACCATAAATTAGCCCTGTGACCACACCAAGCTGATACAGAAGCCCAGTAACTCTTAGGCTGTAGGAGCTGGTTGGTATTCCTAGGGTCCATGTCATTGTCAAAGCATGGTTAGTGAGTGGCTGAACAGAGCTCTCCTCCACTAGAGTTGGGTTACCCTTGCTTTCTTCCTTGGACCTATTTCACATGACATCCATTCTTGCTCAGAAGTTCGAGACGGTGGCACCTGTACCCCAGGCACTGGGTTTGAGCAAGAGCCAAGGGCCTATCAATAGCCCTGCACCTGTTTTAGGGATACCTAATCTTCTAATTCTTTATGGGGCTCTGTGTGGCTAGACCCATCTAAGTGCCCCTCCAAAGGCTCTACGGGTCATCATCAGCACCTGGATTCTGCTGTTGTGTGTGGCCCTCACCACTCCTAATGGATAAGTCATGACTAGCCTGGGAGCCCTGGGATCAGTCCATGCCACAAGCAAACTGCCAATGCCTGGGCTGCTTTCTTTGGAGAGGCACAGCTGTCCACAACTTCAACATCAGCCTGGTAAAGGGTTATGTGTCCAAGGGTCCTTACTGCTGTATTCTTTCTGTCTTTTATTCTGAGAATGCCTTCCCTAGTCAACTTGCCTAGTCCCTGCCACCTTCTTGCATTGTTTTCTGATCTCCTTCCTGACCTCTAGGCTAAATTGTGGTAGACAAGAGGCACTGGCCTCTACAACATCTAGGTTGACTGTGAGGAGAAACCTTTTCACAGGTACAGGGGCAGCAAGAGGACCTATGGATTTGACAGTTTGGGGTGTTTTAATCAAGATGTTCACCCCAAGTTACAGTCCTAGCCACCCTGACTTAGGACTCAGCCTTGGCAAAGCATACTTCCTGCTCCATGTTGAGATTAATTCTGGTTTGGGGCTTCTAGTGTAGCTGCCTGGGCCTTCCCCCACAACTGTCCAGCTGGTCATTCCTGTCTTTTGTGTTAGCATGTGTCCTATATTCTTTTTTTTTTTTCCATGCTCCACACTGCCCTCTGGAAGCAGCTCCCACCCCTGAAGAACTGAGTGGTGGTCCTGATGCTGGGAGCCTGGGCTCTGGCTGCTTTGCTGCAGGTTGATGGTGGACACTACTCACCCTGTCCAGATGTCTGCCTGGTTGTAGGCCTGAGGCCTGAGACTCTGAGCAGCAAGTTAGCAGTAGGATACCTCAGAAGGCTCAGGATCAGCCTGAAGGCTCAGGATCAGCCTGAGGGAGGGGATAAAGGGTGACATTTTACCAAAGCTATGGCTATAATGCCATTTCAGTAGTATCCCTAAGGACCGTGACTTAGCCTGCAGAGTCTCCCCCAAATCATGTCAAGAGGCTGAATCTGTCACAGGCCCTCAGGTAGCACAATTTTTGAAGGGGTTGGTGGGACTATCTGCCCATAACCCTCCCTAAGTTGGACAGTGTCTATTCTAACAAATAATGTGCTTATCATCCACAGGACAGGCTATGAACCTGCCTTGACCATGCTACCCAACCAGCCAACCTCACTCTCATTTCTCTGCCTTCACATTCCACATGTGGTGTAGGCAATGGTGAGGACCCTTGAAGGTAGCTGATGATGTACATTGTTCAGAAGCCTAGGCCACAGGAGCAGGAAATCTGCCTGAGAAGTGACAGGATGAGCTTTGAGGTACCACAGCAAAGCCATGAAGACTTAGATGAGTGTGAAATGGACCAGTGGAGAGCCAGCATGCAGCTGTACCCATTGAAGCACCTTTAAGCACAGAATGTAAACTAGGCATCTGTAGAGCATGCCTTTAATCCCAGTACTTGGGAGGCAGAAGCAGGTGGATCTCTGTGAGTTCAAGGCCAGCCTGGTCTACAGAGTGAGTTCCAGGACAGCCATGGTAGTTACAAAGAAAAACCCTGTCTTGAAAAACTAAAGAAAGGAAATGAAGGAAAAAGAGCAGAACATAAGGGGGAATGTTATGTGTAAGGACACTAGATGATCTGTATCCAGAAAGACATAGAACATGTTATGACTTCAAGACTGGCTGGCTCAAACTGCAGGTGCAGAGATCTGAGGACAAGCCAAGAATCTCTTGATTCATTGGACGCATGAAGACAGAAAAATCCTGTTACAGAAAGAACCTGTCCTTGGGGACCAGATTCAAAGTCTGTCTGTTAAGTTCCACAATACAAATATATGCTCGGGAGGGGTAGGCAGGCCCCTCCCAAAGTTCATTCGAAGGCCAGCCTGGATGAACTTCTGGGTAGAGAGAATGTTTTGGCAATGCTGAGGCTATGGACTGAGAAGACACAGTGTGCAGGCTCAGTTTACAGGATGGTTGTCTTCTCCTTGAGCAGTCTGCCATCTTCTAGAGATGCCAGGTGCACTGGATTGGAGCCAGCAGTGTTCCAGGATGATCTCATCTTAATTATATTCACAGAGATCCTGCTTCCAAATAAGGTTACAGTCAATCCTGCAGGTTAGGACTTTGAGTTGCCTTTCTGGGCAATCAATTCAGCCTAGCTCAAAAGCTCCAAGCCTTGGCAGAAGCTTAGAGGCCTGAAACCAAGTGACCCAGGACCCATACAAGCTTGAAGACCCCACACACATCTGAGTCTAAGGCAGGACTGGGGGAAAGGGGTACCCAGAAAGGCCCCAAGGTTCACTAACTAGAACCCTGAAGGCTTAGAGTAGAGGCCAAATGATCCGCAGGGAGTCCTGAGAGTAACTTCTTGCTGGTTCAGGTTCCTGTATGTTATGAGTATGCTATGCCAGAAATGTGGACAAACATGTTTGTGTCTTTCTACAATGTCAGAATATATTGAATGATAACAAATTCACAAGGTTCAGCAGTTTCAAAATGCAAAGAATTTGTCACATAATCCCACTGACTCCAGTAATCTGGCCAAGGTGGAGGCAATCAAGATATTCTAATCTTAATTACTAAAGCAATCTTTATCACCTATCGCACAGCACACTGTAAATCTCCTTATATATTTTATGTATATGTGTTATTTATTCATTCATGTAAAGAATGAATACAAGTTAAAGAGACTGCAGCTGGATCCAGAGAGAGGTACTCAGAGTTCTGAGAGTCCTATTGATAAGATGCCAGATGCTACCAGGAAAGAGAGCTGCAGTCAGGGCTGTAGAGTCTGCAGGGGGAGCGGCCAAAGCAGGCTCCAAAATCAGGACATGGCGGATTCAGGTCCAGGTCCAGAGGGACAAACAGATGGGTGGGCATGGAGTCAAGTAGGGTGCATCAACAAGAGGACAGAGTCAAGCTAAAGCTTCAACAACAGTTGGGGAATCCTCTGCTTGCTGGACCTTGATTCATACACCAGGGATCAGGTGACTGTTTGATGTAAGGCCAAGCCATTGTGCAGGGTTAGGTGTCTGTGACTTTACAGGACCCACATGAGGGAGTTATACCCTTTTCTCAGATTGGTGTGTCTGATAAATTCTTCAGCCTGGTTTCCCTGGTATGGTTTTTTTTTTTTTAATGCACCCATGTGTACCTACAGGTATAAAGGTAACTTTATAAGATGCCTTCCTTTCTACTCTCAGGAATAAATCCTTTCCATCTGTGCAGAAGCTGGTACCTGACAGATGGTGCTGTTTGTGGATCTACCTGGGGCCTGCAATCTGCTTCCCTCAAAATGGCAAAAGCCACATTGTAAAATGGAGTCTCCTAGGGCAAGGCATGGCCTGAAAAAAACAAAAAACAAAAAACAAAAAAAACCAAAACACTGTTTTCTACAATATGCTGTAACTTAAAGTAGGGCACAGCCTGATCTCAAGATTGTGACCGTGCTGTCTCTTGTATTGTCTGTGTTCTTTGGGCAGCCTGTCTTAAATCCCTCTTGAAGGGACTTGCAGGTCCCCCAACAATGAGATTTGCTCATGCCCTTGGAGGGTCCTTGGCTACCATGAACCTCTGTGGTCCTCCTTCCTCACATCTGGATGTGGATTCAGGACTTTCTCAGCTTAGATGGGTCTGCGTCTGAACCCCATGATCATATCTTTCCCCCTGCCCAGCCACTCAGGGTCCCTGACTGAGTCTTTCTGTTCCCTACAGGTCACACGTGAATCTTGAGCAAATTCTGTGCTACCAGTTGTCCATGATGAATGGCCAACCACCTCCTGGTGATGTTTCGGTTGCCAATGGCACTGAACAGTCCATTGTTCCTAAAATCATGAAGCATCAGTTGGGAGCCAGCACCTGTTCCAGATCCCAAGCAGAGGCTGCCCCATCTACCACAGCCAGAAGTATTGCTGGGGTGTATGTGGAGGCCTCAGGGCAGACCCAGAGCTTCTATGCTGCCATGAAGCAGGGTCTCCTGCCTACTGGACTTGGGCTGGCTTTGCTTGAGTCCCAGGCAGCCACTGGGGGCCTTGTGGACCTTGCCCAAGGCCAGATGTTTTCTGTGTCTGAGGCTCTGAGGCAGGGTCTGGTGGGACTGGAACTAAAGGAGAAATTGTTGGCTGCTGAACGTGCAGTTACTGGCTATCCTGACCCCTATGGGGATGGAAAGCTGGCCCTCTTCCAGGCCATCAGGAAGGAAATTGTGGACAGGACCCTGGGGATGAGATGGCTGGAGGCCCAATTAGCTACTGGAGGCCCCGTGAACCCAACTCAAGGTGTGCGAGTGGCCCCAGAGGTAGCTTGCCAGCAGGGCCTTTTAGACCAGGAGACATGGCTCATCCTAGTGGAATCAGAGGCCGGCATGGGTGCCCCAGGGTTTTTTGACCCCAATACACTGGAACAGCTGCCATACTGCATGTTGTTAGATAGGTGTGTGCAAGACCCCAGCTCAGGCCTGCCCCTATTGCCCTTGAAGACCACCTTTCATACCCTGGGTGGAGCAGCCAGCGCCTCAATGCTGCTGGAGGCAGGAGTACTGGATGAGGAGACAGTTCAAGGCCTGCAGGAGGGCACACTGGTGGTATCAGATGTGGCCACTCGCCCTGAGGTGCAACGTTATTTGGAGGGTGTTGGAGGGTTGGCAGGGGTTGTCCTGTTGCCTGGAGGCCACAAGAAGAGCTTCTTCCAGGCTACAGTTGAACACTTGCTCTCTAAGGGCATTGCACTACAACTCTTGGAGGCTCAGGCTGCCACCCGCACCCTTGTGCACCCAGCCACAGGTCAGCGACTATGGGTGGAGGAGGCAGTCAGAGAAGGTCTGGTTGGCCCAGAACTCCATGAGCAGCTCCTGGTTGCAGAGCAAGCAGTGACTGGGTATTATGACCCCTTCAGCAGCTCCCGCATCCCCCTTTTTCAGGCAATGAAGAAGAAGCTTGTGGACCAGCCACTGGCTCTGCGCCTCCTAGATGCTCAGCTGGCCACAGGTGGGCTTATATGCCCAGCCCGCAGATTCCGGTTGCCTCTGGAGGCTGCCCTGCGCTTTGGCTGCCTGGATGCAGAGACTCAGCAACATCTCTCTCAGGCAATGAGCTTTTCAGATCCCACCACACATGATAGCCTTCACTATGAACAGCTGCTGGCCTACTCTGTCACTGACTCAGAGACAGGGCTTGCTTTCCTGCCTCTTCCTGGAGGACCCCATGCAAAAGAGTCCCAAGGACCCACATTTATTGACCACTGTACTCGGCAGGCCTTGAGCAAGGCCACAACCTCTGTCTCTCTAGGGAAGTTCCGAGGCCGGCCTGTATCCCTCTGGGAATTGTTCTTTTCTGAGGCAGTGCCTGTTAAACAGAGGGCAATGCTTGCCCAGCAGCACCAGAAAGGGGCCCTATCAGTGAATGAGCTTGCAGCTGAGCTGAAGGCCATTGTTGAGCAGGCTGCAGCCACTGCCAAAGTCACCTTTGCTGGGTTGAGGGACACTGTGACATCAGGAGAACTGCTGAAGGCTAAGATAATCAACCAGGACCTGTTTGAGCAGCTGGAACGTGGACAGACCTCAGCCCAGGATGTGGGCAGCCTGGACTCAGTGCAAAGGTACCTGCAGGGCACAGGTTGCATTGCAGGCCTACTGATGCCTGACTCCCAGGAACGCCTCAGTATTTATGAGGCCCGTAGCAAGGGGCTTCTCAGGCCTGGTACTGCCCTGATCTTGCTTGAGGCCCAGGCTGCCACAGGCTTTATCATTGACCCAAAAGAAAATAAGAGATACTCTGTGGAGGAAGCACTGAGGGCTGGTGTCATTGGGCCTGATGTCTATTCAAAGCTACTGTCAGCAGAACGTGCAGTCACAGGCTACACAGACCCTTACTCTGGGGAGCAGATCTCCCTCTTTCAAGCCATGCAGAGGGACCTTATTGTTAGAGACCATGGCATCCGCCTGCTGGAGGCCCAGATTGCCACGGGTGGGGTAATTGACCCTGTGCACAGCCACCGTGTGCCCGTGGACGTGGCCTATCAGCGTGGCTACTTTGACCAGATGTTGAACTCTATCTTGTTGGACCCATCTGACGATACCAAGGGATTCTTTGACCCCAACACACATGAAAATCTCACCTACCTGCAGCTTCTGGAGCACTGTATACACGACTCTGAGACAGGCTTGCACCTCCTGCCACTTAGTGGTACACGACCCCAGCTGGTAGACTGCTCCACTCGGCAGGCCTTTCAGAATCTACTGCTGTCCGTGAGGTATGGACGGTTCCAGGGGCAGAGAGTTTCTGCATGGGAGCTGATTAATTCAGAATACTTCAGAGAGGACTGGAGGAGGCAGCTGCTGCAGCATTATCAGCAGCGCAAGGTCACACTGGAACAGGTCACTCGGCTGCTGGAGGAAGAGATGAAGAAGTGGGCAGACATCACACTGCCTGCACTATGCGGCCAGGTCACTGCCTACCAGCTCTTAGAGGCACACATCATCAACCAGGAGCTCCTGGACCGTGTGCTGATGGGGACGGTCAGCCCAGATTCCCTTCTTCACATGGGTGATATTCACAGGTACCTTCAGGGCTCAGGCACTGTGGGTGGTGTGGTACTACAGCCCTCCAACCAGCGAATCAGTCTCTACCAGGCCATGAAGCAGAAGCTTCTGGCGCCAGGTGTAGCCCTGGCCTTGCTGGAGGCCCAGGCAGCCACTGGAGCCATTACAGACCCCTGTAGTATGGAGACCCTGTCAGTAGATGAGGCTGTGTGCAGGGGAGTGGTGGGAGCAGAAGTATATGGCAAGCTAAAACGAGCAGAGCATTCTATCACTGGCTACAGAGACCCCTTTTCTGGAAAAAAAGTGTCCCTGTTCAGGGCTATGAAGAAGGGCCTTGTCCCTTTGGAGCAGGGAACCCGCCTATTAGAGGCCCAGGTGTCCACAGGAGGTGTCATTGATCCCATAACCCACCTCCACCTCCCCATGCCTGTGGCAGTCCAGCGTGGCTGCATTGACCATGACATGGAGGTGGTCTTGTCCAGCTCTCCTAAGACCTTTCCCACACCTGATGGCCAGGGACACACCAGCTATGCCCAGATTCTGGAGCAATGTCTCCAGGACAAAGCCTCTGGGCTTTACCTCCTGCCCCTGACAGAAGATGCTCCTGCTATTCCCACTGATACCCAGATCCAGGAGACCCTACAAGCATCAGCTGCCACTGAGGATGGTGTATCCCTCTGGGATCTGCTCACCTCTTGCCACTTTACTGAGGAGCAGCGCAGGGGCTTCCTTGAGGATGTGAGGGTTGGGAAGATTTCAGTGCCAGAGCTCCAGGACACTGTGTGTAGCTGGGTGCACGCAGCTAAGCTCCTGGCCCTGGCCCACATCACTGTTCCAGGCCCACGGGGTGAAGTCCCTGCTGTTTGGCTACGAGATGCTGGTATTATTACCCAAGAGACACTGGAAGCATTGGCACAGGGCACACAGTCACCTGTCGAGGTAGCTAAACAGCCTGCTGTAAAGGCCTGCCTCTGGGGCACAGGCTGTGTGGCTGGTGTGCTTCTGCAGCCCTCGGGGACTAAGTTGAGCATTGCCCAGGCCGTAAAGAATGGCCTCCTGCCCACAGGCCTGGGCCAGCAGCTTCTGGAAGCCCAGGTAGCATCTGGCTTCCTTGTCAATCCATTAACCAACCAAAGATTGTCGGTGGAGGGTGCAGTGAAGGCCGGCCTGGTGGGCAGGGAGCTGAGTGAACAGCTGCGGCTGGTGGAGCTGGCAGTCACAGGATATTCAGACCCTTATTCAGGAGGCTCCCTTTCTCTATGGCAGGCCATGGAGAAGGGGCTTGTAACCAAGAGTGAGGCCTTTCCTCTCCTCCAAGTCCAGCTGGCTACTGGTGGTGTTGTGGACCCTGCTCATGGAGTGCGCCTGCCCCAGGCAGTGGCCTGCAGGCTTGGCCTCCTGGACGAGCAGACAAGCCAGTTGCTGACTGCCACTGAGAAGGAAAGCAAGCTCTTCTTTGACCCAAACTCCCATGAAAAGATGACATACCAGCAGCTCAAAGAACTCTGCGTTATGGATGCTGCCACTGGCCTGTGGCTGCTGCCACTGCCCCAGGACACTGTGCTTGAGGTGGATGACCACACTGCAGTGGCACTGAGGGCTATGAAGGTGCCCATCAGCATGGGGAGGTACCAAGGACACAATGTGTCACTCTGGGATCTGCTACACTCTGAGTATGTTGGACCTGAGAAACGGCGAGAGCTGGTGGCACTTTGTTGTTCCGGGCGGGCTGCTGCCCTGCGGCAGGTCATCAGTATGGTCACCACCCTGGTGGAAGCCACAGAAAAGCAGCCCCCACAGGCCACCTTCAAAGGACTCAGGAAGCAGGTTTCAGCTGGGGACTTGTTTAGGTCCCAGCTGATCAACAAGCAGACACTGGATGAACTCAATCAGGGGAAGAGGACAGTCCAGGAAGTAACAGAGATGGACAGTGTGAGGAGGTCCCTGGAAGGAGGCAACTTCATCGCTGGGGTCCTTATTCAGGGTACAAAAGAGAAGATGAGTATCCCAGAGGCCTTGAGAAGGCACATTCTGAGGCCAGGCACAGCTCTGGTATTGCTGGAGGCACAGGCAGCCACCGGTTTCATCATCGACCCCGTGGAGAACAGGAAGCTAACTGTAGAGCAAGCCTTCCAAGCAGGGATGTTTGGCAAGGAAACCTATATGAAGCTGTTATCAGCTGAGCGTGCTGTCACTGGTTACACAGACCCCTACACAGGGGAACAGATCTCCCTCTTCCAGGCCATGCAGAGGGACCTCATCGTCAGGGACCATGGCATCCGTCTGCTGGAGGCCCAGATCGCCACGGGTGGCATCATCGACCCTGTACTCAGCCACCGTGTGCCTGTGGACGTGGCCTACCAGCGCGGCTATTTTGATGAGGAGATGAACCGTGTATTGGCTGACCCCAGTGATGACACCAAGGGATTCTTCGACCCTAACACACATGAGAATCTCACCTACCTGCAGCTGTTGGAGCGCTGTGTGGAAGACCCTGAGACAGGCCTGTACATGTTGGAAATTGTAAAGAAGGGACAGACCTACATGCATATTGATGAGGCCACAAGGCAAGCTCTGAGATCCAGAACTATGAAAATGTACATAGGGAAGTTTTCAGGCCAGACAGTGTCCATGTGGGACCTGCTCTCTTCTCAGTACTTCACAGAAGGAAGGAAAAGAAAGCTTTTGCAGGAGTACAGAGCCCAGAAGATAGGCCTAGAGAAACTGGTAGAGGTTATCATCTCCACTGTGGAAGAAACAGAGAAGCAAAACCAAAGATTCAAGATGGCAGGCATCCGTGGTGACGTGACTGCTGCAGAACTGTTCAACTCTGGGATCCTTGATAAGAAAACCCTGGATATGCTTCACAGTGGGGAGAGAGGGTGCCAGGATCTCTGCCAGCTGGGGCATGTCAACATCTACCTGGAAGGGAGCAATTGCATTGCTGGGGTGACTGTACCACTCACCCAGGAGGTAATGAGCTTCTATGAGGCCAGCAAGGAAGGACTAATCCCAGCAGGGTTTGCAGCTCAGTTGCTGGAGGCACAGGCTGCCACTGGGTACCTAATGGACCCCCATACCCACCAGAGACTACATGTGGATGAGGCCATAGCAGCCGGGCTGGTGGGTGAAGACCTGAGAGAAAGACTTGTGAATGCAGAGAGGGCAGCAAAGAGCTACAGAGACCCAGTCACAGGAGAGACCATCCCACTATTCCAGGCCATGGAGAAGAAGTTAGTCAGGAAGGAGGAAGCACTGAGGTTGCTGGAGGTACAGGTGGCCACAGGTGGAATCATTGACCCACTGCACCACCACCGAGTTCCCCTGGAAACAGCCTGCAGGCGTGGCTGTCTCAGTGATGACACAGTTGTACTCGTTGCTGATCAGAAGCATATGAGGAAAAGGTTTGTGGATCCCAACACACAGGAGAAGGTCACATACCAGGAGCTGCAGGACAGGTGCCAGAGGGAGGAGAAGTCAGGCTGGGCTCTGTTCCCAGTGGTAAAGGACAAAAAGGACATGGAGTATGTTGATGAGGCCACCAAAAGGGCTCTGGAGGCAGAGCAGGTGGAGGTGACTATGGGGAGGTACAGCGGCCAGAGGAGATCTGTGTGGGAGCTGCTGAACTCAGAGTATGTGACAGAGGAGAAAAAGATTGAGTTAGTGAGGATATACAAAGGTGACACATACCGGGCACTAAAAAGAGTGGTAAAAGTTATTCTACAAATGATAGCAGAAAAGGAAGGAAAACACAGACAACTATGGTTCAGAGGATTGCGGACACAAGTCACTGCGGAGGAATTAGTAAACTCAGCTATTATTACAAGACAGACACTGAAAGATCTGGAAGAAGGCAGAACCACTGTAGATAAAATTGAAAGCAATGAAGACGTGAAAAGATATCTCCAGGGCACCGGATGCATTGCGGGTGTCCTGGTGCCCGTGCAGGGGGAGCCCGGCCGGCAGGAGAAGATGAGCATCTACCAGGCCATGTGGAAGGGCGTGCTGAGGCCCGGCACAGCCCTGGTGCTGCTGGAGGCGCAGGCGGCCACCGGCTTCATCATCGACCCGGTGCACAACCGCAGGCTGTCGGTGGAGGAGGCCGTGGCAGCGGGGCGTGGTGGGAGGCGAGGTCCAAGAGAAGCTGCTGTCTGCTGAGCGGGCCGTCACTGGCTACACGGACCCCTACACTGGCGAGCAGATCTCCCTCTTCCAGGCCATGCAGAGGGACCTCATCGTCAAGGACCACGGCATTCGGCTGCTGGAGGCCCAGATTGCCACGGGTGGGGTCATTGACCCCACGCACAGCCACCGTGTGCCCGTGGACGTGGCCTACCAACGCGGCTACTTTGATGAGGAGATGAACAGCATTCTGGCAGATCCTGGCGACGACACCAAGGGCTTCTTCGACCCCAACACACACGAGAACCTCACCTATCTGCAGCTGCTTCGTCGCTGTGTGCGGGACCCAGAGACTGGCTTCTACATGCTGCAGCTGGCGGGAAAGGGCTCCACCGTGCACCACCTGAGCGAGGAACTGAGACGTGCCCTCCGAGAAGCCCGAGTGACGCCAGGCACGGGCGACTTCCAGGGCCAGAGCATCTCTGTCTGGGAGCTTCTCTTCTACCGTGAGGTGCCCGAGAGCCTGCGCCAGGACCTGCTGCGACGGTACCAGGCTGGCGGGCTGACCCTTCAGGACGTGAGCTCTACCCTCACCTCCCTGCTGGCCCGAACCAGGGATGGGAGCCCAAGTGTAGACGCCCAGGGGACCCTGGGGAAGGCCACCATGGAAGTGAAAGTGGGCCGTCTCCGGGGCCAAGAGGTGCCGGTTTGGGACGTTCTGTCATCCAGCTACGTGAGCAGGGACACGAGGAAGGAGCTGCTGGCCCAGTTCAGCTCTGGGACGCTGACTCTGCCCATGCTGACCCGGAGACTGACCACCATCATCGAGGAAGCCGAGGAGACCCAGGAGTCCACGCCAAAGCTGACTGTTGCCTCCCTCGACCAACAGGAGACCCGGGGCAGAAGCTCGGGGACCCTCGCGGACAAGGGCAAGGTTGAGGACGATGCCGCAACTGCCAGGCAGAATCAGGAGCAGGCTCTGCGTGCTGCCACCATGCGGGTCCAGCGTGGGCAGTTCCGGGGCGAGCCAGTTTCCGTGTGGCAAGTCCTGTTCTCCCCGTACCTCAGTGAGACCCGCCGAGAGGAGCTCCTTGCCCAGCACTTGGCTGGCACCCTGGGTCAGCGTGAGCTCATCACCATCCTCACGCAGGTCGTCGAGGAGACGGAAGAAAGGCTCAGCAAGGTGTCTTTCCCCGGGCTGAGGCGCCAGGTAACTGCATCTGAGCTGCACACATCCGGGATCATAGACCCCGAGACTCTGCGGGATCTGGCACAGGGGACCAAGACCCTGCGGGAGGTGACGGAGATGGACTCTGTCAAGCGGTATCTGGAGGGCACCAGCTGCATTGCGGGTGTCCTGGTGCCCGTGCAGGGGGAGCCCGGCCGGCAGGAGAAGATGAGCATCTACCAGGCCATGTGGAAGGGCGTGCTGAGGCCCGGCACAGCCCTGGTGCTGCTGGAGGCGCAGGCGGCCACCGGCTTCATCATCGACCCGGTGCACAACCGCAGGCTGTCGGTGGAGGAGGCCGTGGCAGCGGGCGTGGTGGGAGGCGAGGTCCAAGAGAAGCTGCTGTCTGCTGAGCGGGCCGTCACTGGCTACACGGACCCCTACACTGGCGAGCAGATCTCCCTCTTCCAGGCCATGCAGAGGGACCTCATCGTCAAGGACCACGGCATTCGGCTGCTGGAGGCCCAGATTGCCACGGGTGGGGTCATTGACCCCACGCACAGCCACCGTGTGCCCGTGGACGTGGCCTACCAACGCGGCTACTTTGATGAGGAGATGAACAGCATTCTGGCAGATCCTGGCGACGACACCAAGGGCTTCTTCGACCCCAACACACACGAGAACCTCACCTATCTGCAGCTGCTTCGTCGCTGTGTGCGGGACCCAGAGACTGGCTTCTACATGCTGCAGCTGGCGGGAAAGGGCTCCACCGTGCACCACCTGAGCGAGGAACTGAGACGTGCCCTCCGAGAAGCCCGAGTGACGCCAGGCACGGGCGACTTCCAGGGCCAGAGCATCTCTGTCTGGGAGCTTCTCTTCTACCGTGAGGTGCCCGAGAGCCTGCGCCAGGACCTGCTGCGACGGTACCAGGCTGGCGGGCTGACCCTTCAGGACGTGAGCTCTACCCTCACCTCCCTGCTGGCCCGAACCAGGGATGGGAGCCCAAGTGTAGACGCCCAGGGGACCCTGGGGAAGGCCACCATGGAAGTGAAAGTGGGCCGTCTCCGGGGCCAAGAGGTGCCGGTTTGGGACGTTCTGTCATCCAGCTACGTGAGCAGGGACACGAGGAAGGAGCTGCTGGCCCAGTTCAGCTCTGGGACGCTGACTCTGCCCATGCTGACCCGGAGACTGACCACCATCATCGAGGAAGCCGAGGAGACCCAGGAGTCCACGCCAAAGCTGACTGTTGCCTCCCTCGACCAACAGGAGACCCGGGGGCAGAAGCTCGGGGACCCTCGCGGACAAGGGCAAGGTTGAGGACGATGCCGCAACTGCCAGGCAGAATCAGGAGCAGGCTCTGCGTGCTGCCACCATGCGGGTCCAGCGTGGGCAGTTCCGGGGGCGAGCCAGTTTCCGTGTGGCAAGTCCTGTTCTCCCCGTACCTCAGTGAGACCCGCCGAGAGGAGCTCCTTGCCCAGCACTTGGCTGGCACCCTGGGTCAGCGTGAGCTCATCACCATCCTCACGCAGGTCGTCGAGGAGACGGAAGAAAGGCTCAGCAAGGTGTCTTTCCCCGGGCTGAGGTGCCAGGTAACTGCATCTGAGCTGCACACATCCGGGATCATAGACCCCGAGACTCTGCGGGATCTGGCACAGGGGACCAAGACCCTGCGGGAGGTGACGGAGATGGACTCTGTCAAGCGGTATCTGGAGGGCACCAGCTGCATTGCGGGTGTCCTGGTGCCCGTGCAGGGGGAGCCCGGCCGGCAGGAGAAGATGAGCATCTACCAGGCCATGTGGAAGGGCGTGCTGAGGCCCGGCACAGCCCTGGTGCTGCTGGAGGCGCAGGCGGCCACCGGCTTCATCATCGACCCGGTGCACAACCGCAGGCTGTCGGTGGAGGAGGCCGTGGCAGCGGGCGTGGTGGGAGGCGAGGTCCAAGAGAAGCTGCTGTCTGCTGAGCGGGCCGTCACTGGCTACACGGACCCCTACACTGGCGAGCAGATCTCCCTCTTCCAGGCCATGCAGAGGGACCTCATCGTCAAGGACCACGGCATTCGGCTGCTGGAGGCCCAGATTGCCACGGGTGGGGTCATTGACCCCACGCACAGCCACCGTGTGCCCGTGGACGTGGCCTACCAACGCGGCTACTTTGATGAGGAGATGAACAGCATTCTGGCAGATCCTGGCGACGACACCAAGGGCTTCTTCGACCCCAACACACACGAGAACCTCACCTATCTGCAGCTGCTTCGTCGCTGTGTGCGGGACCCAGAGACTGGCTTCTACATGCTGCAGCTGGCGGGAAAGGGCTCCACCGTGCACCACCTGAGCGAGGAACTGAGACGTGCCCTCCGAGAAGCCCGAGTGACGCCAGGCACGGGCGACTTCCAGGGCCAGAGCATCTCTGTCTGGGAGCTTCTCTTCTACCGTGAGGTGCCCGAGAGCCTGCGCCAGGACCTGCTGCGACGGTACCAGGCTGGCGGGCTGACCCTTCAGGACGTGAGCTCTACCCTCACCTCCCTGCTGGCCCGAACCAGGGATGGGAGCCCAAGTGTAGACGCCCAGGGGACCCTGGGGAAGGCCACCATGGAAGTGAAAGTGGGCCGTCTCCGGGGCCAAGAGGTGCCGGTTTGGGACGTTCTGTCATCCAGCTACGTGAGCAGGGACACGAGGAAGGAGCTGCTGGCCCAGTTCAGCTCTGGGACGCTGACTCTGCCCATGCTGACCCGGAGACTGACCACCATCATCGAGGAAGCCGAGGAGACCCAGGAGTCCACGCCAAAGCTGACTGTTGCCTCCCTCGACCAACAGGAGACCCGGGGGCAGAAGCTCGGGGACCCTCGCGGACAAGGGCAAGGTTGAGGACGATGCCGCAACTGCCAGGCAGAATCAGGAGCAGGCTCTGCGTGCTGCCACCATGCGGGTCCAGCGTGGGCAGTTCCGGGGGCGAGCCAGTTTCCGTGTGGCAAGTCCTGTTCTCCCCGTACCTCAGTGAGACCCGCCGAGAGGAGCTCCTTGCCCAGCACTTGGCTGGCACCCTGGGTCAGCGTGAGCTCATCACCATCCTCACGCAGGTCGTCGAGGAGACGGAAGAAAGGCTCAGCAAGGTGTCTTTCCCCGGGCTGAGGCGCCAGGTAACTGCATCTGAGCTGCACACATCCGGGGATCATAGACCCCGAGACTCTGCGGGATCTGGCACAGGGGGACCAAGACCCTGCGGGAGGTGACGGAGATGGACTCTGTCAAGCGGTATCTGGAGGGCACCAGCTGCATTGCGGGTGTCCTGGTGCCCGTGCAGGGGGAGCCCGGCCGGCAGGAGAAGATGAGCATCTACCAGGCCATGTGGAAGGGCGTGCTGAGGCCCGGCACAGCCCTGGTGCTGCTGGAGGCGCAGGCGGCCACCGGCTTCATCATCGACCCGGTGCACAACCGCAGGCTGTCGGTGGAGGAGGCCGTGGCAGCGGGCGTGGTGGGAGGCGAGGTCCAAGAGAAGCTGCTGTCTGCTGAGCGGGCCGTCACTGGCTACACGGACCCCTACACTGGCGAGCAGATCTCCCTCTTCCAGGCCATGCAGAGGGACCTCATCGTCAAGGACCACGGCATTCGGCTGCTGGAGGCCCAGATTGCCACGGGTGGGGTCATTGACCCCACGCACAGCCACCGTGTGCCCGTGGACGTGGCCTACCAACGCGGCTACTTTGATGAGGAGATGAACAGCATTCTGGCAGATCCTGGCGACGACACCAAGGGCTTCTTCGACCCCAACACACACGAGAACCTCACCTATCTGCAGCTGCTTCGTCGCTGTGTGCGGGACCCAGAGACTGGCTTCTACATGCTGCAGCTGGCGGGAAAGGGCTCCACCGTGCACCACCTGAGCGAGGAACTGAGACGTGCCCTCCGAGAAGCCCGAGTGACGCCAGGCACGGGCGACTTCCAGGGCCAGAGCATCTCTGTCTGGGAGCTTCTCTTCTACCGTGAGGTGCCCGAGAGCCTGCGCCAGGACCTGCTGCGACGGTACCAGGCTGGCGGGCTGACCCTTCAGGACGTGAGCTCTACCCTCACCTCCCTGCTGGCCCGAACCAGGGATGGGAGCCCAAGTGTAGACGCCCAGGGGACCCTGGGGAAGGCCACCATGGAAGTGAAAGTGGGCCGTCTCCGGGGCCAAGAGGTGCCGGTTTGGGACGTTCTGTCATCCAGCTACGTGAGCAGGGACACGAGGAAGGAGCTGCTGGCCCAGTTCAGCTCTGGGACGCTGACTCTGCCCATGCTGACCCGGAGACTGACCACCATCATCGAGGAAGCCGAGGAGACCCAGGAGTCCACGCCAAAGCTGACTGTTGCCTCCCTCGACCAACAGGAGACCCGGGGGCAGAAGCTCGGGGACCCTCGCGGACAAGGGCAAGGTTGAGGACGATGCCGCAACTGCCAGGCAGAATCAGGAGCAGGCTCTGCGTGCTGCCACCATGCGGGTCCAGCGTGGGCAGTTCCGGGGGCGAGCCAGTTTCCGTGTGGCAAGTCCTGTTCTCCCCGTACCTCAGTGAGACCCGCCGAGAGGAGCTCCTTGCCCAGCACTTGGCTGGCACCCTGGGTCAGCGTGAGCTCATCACCATCCTCACGCAGGTCGTCGAGGAGACGGAAGAAAGGCTCAGCAAGGTGTCTTTCCCCGGGCTGAGGCGCCAGGTAACTGCATCTGAGCTGCACACATCCGGGATCATAGACCCCGAGACTCTGCGGGATCTGGCACAGGGGGACCAAGACCCTGCGGGAGGTGACGGAGATGGACTCTGTCAAGCGGTATCTGGAGGGCACCAGCTGCATTGCGGGTGTCCTGGTGCCCGTGCAGGGGGAGCCCGGCCGGCAGGAGAAGATGAGCATCTACCAGGCCATGTGGAAGGGCGTGCTGAGGCCCGGCACAGCCCTGGTGCTGCTGGAGGCGCAGGCGGCCACCGGCTTCATCATCGACCCGGTGCACAACCGCAGGCTGTCGGTGGAGGAGGCCGTGGCAGCGGGCGTGGTGGGAGGCGAGGTCCAAGAGAAGCTGCTGTCTGCTGAGCGGGCCGTCACTGGCTACACGGACCCCTACACTGGCGAGCAGATCTCCCTCTTCCAGGCCATGCAGAGGGACCTCATCGTCAAGGACCACGGCATTCGGCTGCTGGAGGCCCAGATTGCCACGGGTGGGGTCATTGACCCCACGCACAGCCACCGTGTGCCCGTGGACGTGGCCTACCAACGCGGCTACTTTGATGAGGAGATGAACAGCATTCTGGCAGATCCTGGCGACGACACCAAGGGCTTCTTCGACCCCAACACACACGAGAACCTCACCTATCTGCAGCTGCTTCGTCGCTGTGTGCGGGACCCAGAGACTGGCTTCTACATGCTGCAGCTGGCGGGAAAGGGCTCCACCGTGCACCACCTGAGCGAGGAACTGAGACGTGCCCTCCGAGAAGCCCGAGTGACGCCAGGCACGGGCGACTTCCAGGGCCAGAGCATCTCTGTCTGGGAGCTTCTCTTCTACCGTGAGGTGCCCGAGAGCCTGCGCCAGGACCTGCTGCGACGGTACCAGGCTGGCGGGCTGACCCTTCAGGACGTGAGCTCTACCCTCACCTCCCTGCTGGCCCGAACCAGGGATGGGAGCCCAAGTGTAGACGCCCAGGGGACCCTGGGGAAGGCCACCATGGAAGTGAAAGTGGGCCGTCTCCGGGGCCAAGAGGTGCCGGTTTGGGACGTTCTGTCATCCAGCTACGTGAGCAGGGACACGAGGAAGGAGCTGCTGGCCCAGTTCAGCTCTGGGACGCTGACTCTGCCCATGCTGACCCGGAGACTGACCACCATCATCGAGGAAGCCGAGGAGACCCAGGAGTCCACGCCAAAGCTGACTGTTGCCTCCCTCGACCAACAGGAGACCCGGGGCAGAAGCTCGGGGACCCTCGCGGACAAGGGCAAGGTTGAGGACGATGCCGCAACTGCCAGGCAGAATCAGGAGCAGGCTCTGCGTGCTGCCACCATGCGGGTCCAGCGTGGGCAGTTCCGGGGCGAGCCAGTTTCCGTGTGGCAAGTCCTGTTCTCCCCGTACCTCAGTGAGACCCGCCGAGAGGAGCTCCTTGCCCAGCACTTGGCTGGCACCCTGGGTCAGCGTGAGCTCATCACCATCCTCACGCAGGTCGTCGAGGAGACGGAAGAAAGGCTCAGCAAGGTGTCTTTCCCCGGGCTGAGGCGCCAGGTAACTGCATCTGAGCTGCACACATCCGGGATCATAGACCCCGAGACTCTGCGGGATCTGGCACAGGGGGACCAAGACCCTGCGGGAGGTGACGGAGATGGACTCTGTCAAGCGGTATCTGGAGGGCACCAGCTGCATTGCGGGTGTCCTGGTGCCCGTGCAGGGGGAGCCCGGCCGGCAGGAGAAGATGAGCATCTACCAGGCCATGTGGAAGGGCGTGCTGAGGCCCGGCACAGCCCTGGTGCTGCTGGAGGCGCAGGCGGCCACCGGCTTCATCATCGACCCGGTGCACAACCGCAGGCTGTCGGTGGAGGAGGCCGTGGCAGCGGGCGTGGTGGGAGGCGAGGTCCAAGAGAAGCTGCTGTCTGCTGAGCGGGCCGTCACTGGCTACACGGACCCCTACACTGGCGAGCAGATCTCCCTCTTCCAGGCCATGCAGAGGGACCTCATCGTCAAGGACCACGGCATTCGGCTGCTGGAGGCCCAGATTGCCACGGGTGGGGTCATTGACCCCACGCACAGCCACCGTGTGCCCGTGGACGTGGCCTACCAACGCGGCTACTTTGATGAGGAGATGAACAGCATTCTGGCAGATCCTGGCGACGACACCAAGGGCTTCTTCGACCCCAACACACACGAGAACCTCACCTACTTTCAGCTTTTGCAGAGAGCCTCTGTTGAGCCAGAGAGTGGATTGCTGTTTCTCACCGTGTCTGAATGCTGATTGTTTAATTTAGGTTTTGATAGGTCCTACAGGGCTTGCACTCTTCATGATTTCGATTGTTATACTCTCTTTATAGAGATAATCTGAGTTGTCTTTTCAGGTTTCAAGTTTGGTTTATGTTTTCTTTTTCCTATCCTAAGTGCTTTTATTTTGATCATTGTTTTACCATTTATGTCTTCTGTTTCTTTTTTTTCTGCATAAATTTTTCATTTTGTTTTGTTTTACTATATTCAGTTGTTGTTTTGGTGCAAACCTGGACGTGGAAGGAGTGATGTTTTCATATGGCCTCTAACTCTATTCCATACAATGCCATGTTTACTCACCATGGTGTCCACACTGCTCCTAAATCCACTGGTGATCTTCCTTCCTTTGTCTCCTAAGCTCTGGTTTATAGGTGTAAGCCACCATGCTTGGCAAAATACTTCAACATTTGAAATATGGACACTTTTCACCGATGTGTATCAATTTCCCTTGTGCATTTAGCATAGTGTTTCTTTTTCCCTCTCCATGTACCACATTGCGTTTTAGTGCATTCATGTCTTTGATAATAAATGAGTTTCTGACAGTAAAATGGATTTGTAGGCACTCATTTTCTGTCGGCTAAAGTCTGTTTTATTGGCAGTGACTGCACTACTATCACCTGTTACTGTGTCCTTCATTGTGTGCTGGCCAGCCATCACTATCTTGTGATCTGCTTTGTGAAGCTCAGTCTTCTGGGATAACCTTCCCCACCCCAGTAAAGACCAGCTAAGCAGCAGCTCTGGCAGATAATTTGTCAGGATTTGTTTATATTTGACTCAAATTCCCATTATCCTGAATAATTTGAGGCTTTGCTTTTGTTTTGTGGAGAATGTTTATTTTGACTCCAAATTTGGAAGATTCAAGGGTCTATGGTGATTATACTGTTTATGATTTAATAATGCCTGAGGGTTCTGGATGCAAAGCCAGCCACACTAATTAGCTATGGCAAGTAGGTGGTGGTGGTATACACCTTTAATCCCAGGACTCAGGATTTAGTTTTGGATGTATATCTGTTAGTTCAAGGCCATGCTGACTATGTGATATTGATCCAGTCCTAGAAGAAACAGCATACACAAAGGTGATCTCAGCACTTGGTAACCACATGCCTTTAATCCCAATTTTAGGGAGGTAGAGACAGGAAGATGTGGCTGGGTAAAGAAAGGATTAAAAGGAGGAGGAAACAGGAACTGAGAGCTTTTGCCTCTGAGGATTTGTGGAGACAGGATTGCTATTTTAGCTGGGTAGAGGTAAGATTTACTGGCTTGGCTGCTTTGCTTCTCTGATCTTCAGCTTGAAGCTTGAACACCAATATCTGTCTCTTAGTCTTTTATTAATCATGCTACAAAGGTCTTCTTCTGGTCATGGCTTTCCTGCTGGCAGAATTTCAAAGAGGTACAGGGCAGCCCAAGAAAACTACAGGTTGTTCTTTTAGAGGACCTAGGTTTGGTTCAGCTCATGGTGACTTATAACCATCCACAGTTCCAGTTCAAATAGGTTCAAACCCCTCTTCTTATTTCCAAGGGCACCAGGCTCACAAGTAGCACACATATTATGTATGTAGATAAAACACTCATAGACAGAAAGTGAAATAAATCTAAACCCAAAAAAACCCAAAACTAAAGCTCTTGTTTTTATTTTAATTTTACTCATTATCATTTTTAAATTATGTATCTTTATTTGCTTTTATTGTATGAATGTTTTGCCTTGCATGTATGTCTACTTGCCATATGTGTGCCTGGTCCCTGAGGAGATCAGAACATCCAGAATAGGAGCCATCTCTACACACACATACACACAAACACACACACACACACACACACACAGCTCTTATTTTTATCTGAGGTGTTTGAAGTTCTTCATTCACCAAACTTTAATCCTCAAATACAGAGATTAAACAAGAGGATCAAACAACCTGTAGTTTGGGCTATGTAGACTGTGGTAGCTAGAAGTGCCTCAGGATGATGCAGGTTATAGTAGGTCAGGTGGTAAAAGAGAGGCTGCACTGTGGTCCCTTCACCCATTCAGTAGTGTGGATGTCTGCAGTGACCTTGGCTGCCTCCAGATCTGCAGAAACATCCACATGCCACCTGCAATGGTTTCCTCTGAGGTGATCCTATTTGGGGTGCTGAACTTCCTCGTTCTAGGAATATATAGATTTCATCAAACCAAGGACATTTTCAGCATTATTGTTTCAAACTGGTTTTCTGTAGGCCTGTGTTTCTTCCCTCCTTTCAGAACTTAGCACAGTGACCTTAGTTCTCCTGATGCTGTTTCACTGGCCTTTGAAGCTTTGCTTGTCCCTTTGAAGTTCTTTTCCATATTAGATTGGAGGTGTCTGTGTGTGTGCTCTATAAATAATATAAATTTATATAATCCTATAAATATAATAGCTTGTCTGGTGATGGGCTGACATTTTTTGGTGGCACTGAGCAGTAACTGTAGCCTGCTATTTTGGACCTTGTCCTGCTAACTTTTTTTTAATGATAATATTTTTTATTTGAATTTGAAACAAACTTGTTTTATATGTCAATCCCAGTTCCCTCTCCTTCCCTGCCTCCCAACCCCCATCCCATCCCCTTTCTGCTCCCCAGGGAGGGTGAGACCTTCCATGGGGGATTTTCAAAGTCTGTCACATTATTTGGGGCAGGGCCTAGGCCCTCCCTCATGGGTCTAGGCTGAGAGAGTATCCCTCCCTGTGGAATGGATGCCCAAAGTCCATTCATATACATATACTAGAGATAAATAATGATCCACTACCAGAGGCCTCATAGATTGCCCAGTCCTCCTAACTGACACCCACGTTCAGGGGGTCTGGATCAGTCCTATGCTGGTTTCCTTCCTAGCTATCAGACCAGGGTCCATAAGCTCCCCCGTGTTCAGATCAGCAGTTTCTGTGGGTGATGTCCACCTATTGAGATGGTGGTCTCCATATCTATTCTTTTCTGAAGCTTTTGCTGTGCTGTGGGGACACTTTCTCCATAGTGTCTCTCAGTCTGGATGTGATCCTGTGCCTTGGGTAAGCTGTGTGAAGAGCAGAGGGCCTCTCCTCTAGCTCCAGCTAGGTTGCTTGGCATCCTCTCCCCTGCACACACATACTCTTATGATCCTCCATTTAGATGCCCACCTTTTAATTCCCTGTGCTGCCAGGAAATTTCATATAACCATGCTCAGAACAAAGCAGCCAGAGGAAAGAGGGGCCCTGCTACACTGCTCTGGCCTACCAGACTTGGTATCTGGATCCCCTGTCCACAAAGGTAAAGTTTCTGAAGGATCTTGGCTCTTTTTAATGACACCCATGCTGACACCACAGAGTTGGGAAAAATGAAGGAAATGGGGATTCCTGTTATAATCTAGATACAGGGGTTCTCAACCTTCCTGCAACCCTTTAATACAGTTCTTAATGTTGTGGTGACCCCCCAACCATAAAATTTTTTCTTTGCCAATTCATAACTGTAATGTTACTACTGTTATGAACTGTAAATCTGATATGTGACCCCCTCCCCCAAAGGGGTCTAACCACTGGGTTAGAGCTTGTAGAGAAATGAGTAAGTTTCTCTTGGGACGTAAACTCACCACCCACTGTGGCGCTCACAATCCACCTTCCTCTGGTCAAGGTCATAAACACAACAGAAGAGTAACTGAGCAGACTAGCTACCCTACCCATTGTTCCCTGCCACCACCTCTGTCAGCATTCCAGTCCCCGAAAAGAAGGAGCTATTCATGTTTTATCCAGAGATGCTAGCTATGAGATCTGGACTGAGGTACATTCCTTCTCTGTGGCCAGGCATGGGGTGGGAGACAGGGAGGCCAGTGATTACTATTCTGATTTGAAAAGTAATGCTATGCCAGGTTCCAGTGCCTGGCTGGAAACTTGCAAGCACCAACTACAAGCTGCTTGCTTCCTCACCCAGCAAGCTCTTGTCTGCCATTGAAAGGGTGACACTGGCTATATCCTGGTCTAGGAAATTCAGGATCCTAAGATGAAATCCAGGTTTGAACAATGCATGCTGGGAGCCCACCTCTGCTGTCTGGGTCTAATGACTTTTGAATGTTCTGACAAGTAAGCATGAGGTGTTTCAGGATAGTCATCAGGCAGCATTCTGTGTCTGGAAAAGAGTTGGGGTGAGTGGGGTCAGAATTCAAGAGGCACAGCCACCCACCTGTGTGTCTGTTAGTCTTTTACCACTCATCAAAGCAAATCTTATAATTCTGATATCTCTTAACAAAAAGTCTCCCAGCCTTGGATATCTACACTCACAAACTGACCATGGCTTCCAAAAAGAGTGTATCCGGCTGTAGGCTTCAGCTGCTGCTTTCAACTCCCAGCATCACCTTTGACCACCATCCACCTACTCTTTGGTCAGTTCCTGATTTCCTGACATTATAGTTTCCTTTTTTCTTTTTCTTCTTCTTCTTCTTTTAATTGTCAAAGGGGCATAATAACAGCACTTGAGTCAGAGGTGGTTGTGTGTACAAGTCCAATGTATCCTGGAAGTGATCCCAAAATGTCCATAATGATAGTTCCATGGAACAGCTTTTTACCATGTTTGTAGTTTTTCTCTTCTTATTAATAGAAGACCCCCCCACACACAAAAAATCAGGTCAAGGCATCCTTCTAGCTAAAAGGAAATTAGAGTTGCTATATAAACTATTCAAAGGCACAAATTAGTTAATAGCTTGTGTTCAAAACTGACTTAAATTTAGGCGAGGAGACATGTACCTTAAATCTCAGGACCTGGAGGCTGAGGCAGGGAGATCATGGGTTTGAGTACAACTTGACCATGAACAAGCCTCATAATAACAACAAAACACCACACACACACACACACACACACACACACACGAGAGAGAGAGAGAGAGAGAGAGAGAGAGAGAGAGAGAGAGACTTCACAAGAAGGCTGAAGGCTGAGTGCCAGGTATGAAGTGGGTTCTGGCTGCTTTATTTCCTACAGGTTAGACCCAACTTCTTGCCCAACTGCCAACATACCATCATACATATGTATTTCTTTTCCTGGGGACATGGACAGATTGGGGCAGTCCAATGTCTGGCATCTTTAACTCACTTTGCCTACTGTTCCCTGATCACTCCAGGCCCAAGAAGAGCTGTTTGACAAGCCTAGGAGGGAGGGGAACTACCCAGATCAGAGAATACTGTGGCAACAAGGGTGAGAGAGAAAGAGAAGTAAGCTATCTAGCTGTGTAAAGCCCTCCAGGTTCCCTTGTGTGGTGAAGGCTGGTGTAGGAGCTGACTCATCTGATGCAGGGCCCAGATGGGGACAGATGGCTTCATAACAAAACATACAATGACCTTCCTCCCACACCAGGGCTGAGACACTGGGGTCAGGAGGCACCTAATTCCTAGGTGTCCCAAGGACCTGCCACAAGTCACATTTGCAGCCATTTTAACTGCATTTTAACAGAAGAAGCTGAGACTCCTTAGATATCAGCAGAGATGGGAAACTGAAGAGACACCAAAACATCTTTTAAAAGATGTGGTGGCTCACAATAATAAGTTCAGGATCCAGGAAGCAGAGATAGGTATACCAACTCAC